AAAAAAAAAAAAAAAAAAATCCAATATTTTCCCTCCCTCTCTAGCTGGAGACCAATGAATGAAAATGCGGTGTCCTACCTCCGGTTCAGTCCGTGAATGTCGCTAGAATACCTCCGTCCGTTTAAATTGCATCCTACGATTTCATCTGTATTAAAACACAGTGGCCGAAACAGCTAGATCTGGCGCTAATCACACGAAAATGTCGCGTATTTCCTCAAATGATGGGGTTGGGAGTAAGAGGCGGGCACGTGACGTATGGTCTTTTCATTACGTACATACCGGCCCCCTCCTCGACGCTGGGTTGTGCCCGGCCGGGTAGGACCAGGGCCCTGGAAAAACAATGGATTTGTTGCTGACCTGACCTGACCAATCACAAAGGAGAAATATTTTAGCTCTTAGCCAATAGGTTGACAGTGTTAAAAATCAGAGGAGGCATTACACAACCTGACCTGATTGGCTGCCTGTTATCAGCTACTTCCATAATAAAGATACCGCTTTACTAGTAGTATAAATACATTTCAATGTACAACTCTTTTCCCAGTAGTGGTGGTAGTAGTAGTAGTTTTAAATATATATACAAGTGCAATAAAATAAAACAAAATAAAATAAAATAAAACACACTTGATAAGTAGAATTACTTTTTTTGTAATTTTGCATCTGTACACCAAGATAATGGATTTCAATTCAATTGATTCAGGAACTTTTTATATGTACCCCCTATTTTCAGAGGGTCGAAACATGTACAATTATACAACAAGTTATTTGATGATTAGATGAGGTTTGTTCCCTCCTTATTCCGTGCATTTAGTAGCAGTGCACTGACATGCTCAATACGAGGTCTAAAGAGATGTCGCTGCAAGCAAAGGAGACACTCATTAAACACCTGGCAAATCATCTCAAGGGAGGAAGTGCAGCATTTGGTTATAAATTCTAGACTTCAGGCACCAACTGCAAAATATTTTCATCCAAAAACAATAGTATTATAGTACCTTTACCTGAGGTACAACAAGTTAATATGGACTGGATCAATTCTCTTGTGCTTTTCTCCTATGCTTGACTACAAATTTGCTTCACAGTAAGTTACGTTTATTCCAAAGAAACCACATAATCAGCATGGCTGAAATTGCTGTGTGCAATTAAAATACTTATCAAGCTGAAAAGATACTAAGGAGTAGTAAATTATTTATAAATGCCTTATTGATCACTTTTATACCAGGCTGCGAAACAATTCCCTCATGTGACTTGATTAGTATTATTAGAAACTGAGAAACCATAAGCAACCAGGGGATTTTTTTTTATTCAAAGGACATATTCTGCTAACTTGAACAGGGGTTTCAAACTTAAATGAGCTGTGGGCCACTGCTGGCACTGTCATCTCATGTGAGGACCATTTTAGTGTTCAAGTAGTACAAAAAACAAACAAACAAGAAAACACCCACAAATATTTGTGAGTTTAGTGTTTGATGTATAAAAATCTACGGAAAGACCAAAAGACAGTAGTCTATTCTACAGAAAATGTTTGGTTTTCTTGAAGGAATTGGTCTGGTAGATTATTTAATTCTGTTTAAGAGTAATTGATGGATATAACATGTCTTTGAAAACAGATTTGAAGGAGGGGAAACAGAAAGAAAAGGCTGAGGTATGCCCAACTACACAAGAACTGGACTGTAGAACAGTGGCAACAGGTCAGGAGAGAGAGGTATAGCAGAGTGTCTACAGCCACCTGGAAAACACAGTGGTGTTTGGGATCTTTACAAATTGATGGAATAATGAACACAAAAAATACCATCAGATTTTGATCCACCACATACTACCATCTGGAAAACATGTGATTCAAATCAAACAATGGATCACTATTAGTCATAGACTGGCCTTCCCAGCGCCTGGACCTCATCATTACTGAAGCAGTGTGGGAACATCTTGAGAAAGAGTGGAACAAAAGGCAGCGAACATTCAAAAAAGACCTCTGAATGTCCTTCAAGAAACCTGGAGAACTATTTCTGAAGACTGCTTAAAGAAATGCTAAGAAAGCTTATCAAAGAGCGTTCAGGGTGTGTTGAAAAACTGATATGTTTATATCAAATATTGACTTTCAAGCGTATTAGAATGGTCCAAAATCTTTTTTTTCTGTACTTCAATGTACTGTATGTTTGCATATATCTCACTAAATCGGTGTGCCTAATAAAATACAAAGAAATGAATGGCCTAAGACTGTCTATCGTGCGACCCCAGCAGCTGAAGCACTCTGTTTAGTTGCTACTGTCAAACATTAGATGGCTCTCTGAAACATCGGTACAGTTGGTCTCATGAATGCTGCCTTCGCGTGTCCTGTGAAATGTAAGACTCCAGGTAGAATAAACGTTTTAAAACAGCAGACCGAATACACATTGGCGTTTATGCGGAAATTAATTGTGTGCTCCGTCTTTGTCTCAGACTGCCTCGATAGCACGGCTCACACGCTTTCTCAGCTGCACATCTGTCTGATGTGTTTCGTATACGGTTTCCAAAAGGCAGAACTGTGCCTGAACGCAGCAGTGCCTGAAGCTAACGCTAGCTTTCCCTTCAGTGCTATGAGTTAAGCAAGACTGAAGGTAAGGGCAAAAATTATATTTCTAAACAAGGTCTGTCAAATTTAACTCATACGAGTGCCACAGTGATGTATTCCCAATACATACGGGGACCTGCAGTAGTCCGACAAGGCTTTATTTAGTGAAGAGCGGCAGTTATGCTCTCTTGTAGTGGCTCAGCTAATGTTAGCTACTCAGACGTCGCTTTTTTTTTTTTTGCATAACATTAGTAACTAAATACAGAAAGGTAAGATTAACATTACAAATCAGCATTAGTAACTATAATTGAACTGTCACTTTTGTCCTAATATTGACTTTATAAAGATTGTATTAAACCAAAACAGTCTAACTTAGCAAAAGCTAAAGTATGTAATTGTTCCAGTAGATGAGCTGAATTTAGCTAGTGTCCTAGTTTAGCAAACTAAGGGTGAGGTGTAATGTCAGCGTTTGCATCCCAAGCAGAACATCTTTCAAAGTAAAAGAAAAAAGGCAGCGAGATGCCACACTGCCACAATACTCACCAAAAAGCTAAATGTTAAATTATACCATTCTCTTTGATGTGAGGATTTGAGTAAAATAAACTACAAGAGCCTTGATGAAATGTTTCAATGTGTATAATTATGAGGATTAAAAACTTAGTCATTGTTGACTGCAGACTTACATAAAGCGGAAACCTAGACCTTGGCCATGTGCTATCTTATCTCTTTGTACACAGTGCTGGGAATGCAGCCACCGCTGCCACCTGAAGCAGTCAGAGAGCTGGTGTGCTCTTGCCTGCAAAGAGACCCCGTAGCAGCAGACCTGCGATGCAGCCTCTTCGTTGCTGCCACTCAGAACTACAAGAGAGACTCTTTGCTTAGACCATTCCCGCCTCGTTACTTAAGTGGTGACAATAAGGAGTTTGAAGAATTGGTGAGTGCTAAAGTGATTGTCAAAACCTCTTGAAGATCCTAGATTATAGTCAGTGGTAGCCTATGCTTGCCTAAGTGCTCCTCAGTTTAATCATACAAGCTTTAAACCAGCCTCAGGGGTAGGGTCAAGATCACCAAACCAACAGCAGCAGCGCCTCTGTTGTTCAGCCATATATTCATTCACTCAGGTGACTGATCAGAATGATCACCAAGCCTATGGACAGAGGTATCCTAGCACAATGACACTCATTAACATGAAAAGGGATACAGAGCTTTACATGGCAACTAGAAAAAATAACATGCATGCACACATCTACACAAAAGGGGAAGACAGAGGGATGGCAGACTCAACAGTAGAACATAAAATGTAGCTACTTAAGAAAAACTATACCCAGCAAGTAATCGGTATCAACTCTCAAATCCACTACTACTCATATAGCCTGACCTATGATCCTGTGTTGAATGAGCGGGAAGAAACAAGAATTGTTTATTTTTAGTTGAGATATGGTCTGCTAAGATAATTGAGAGAACTGATCAAATGTAACATGATATATATCCACTCGGTGGCAGTGATGTGCTGTTAATGGTAGCTTCATGCCAATTATTACTCATAGATGAATTTGCGATCATTTCATGTCTTTGGTGTCTTCTCACTTTGAGAGACGTGTGTTCCAAGGAGTAAAAGAGACATTTGAATCTGTTTGTGGTAATACGATAAAAGAAAGGAGTTTTTCCTTCTCCAGCTGGCAGATGTGAACTCGTTGCCTGGTGTGAGAGAGCTGGTGAGACTACGACCTGGAGAAGCAGATCATCATTTGGCCCTTGCACACTGGATTCTGTCTTCAAAGAGCTTTGCTGTAAAGACACTACAGAAGGAAGAGGTATCTTAAAGGCATAGAGAGATAAACCACGAACTTGCACCGCTTTCTTCTTTGCTCAAGCGTGTTTCTCCGATCTTCACTAGTACGCCAAACTCTGCAGCCTGACGGAAAATGAAGGGATGTCTGCACCCGTGCCAGACTTCCTCTTTGAGCTGGAGTACTCTGATCAGATGAACGCGAGGTTTGAGAGGACGAGGGAAGGACGAGATGTTTTCTATGCTTTCCACGGGAGCCGCTTGGAGAACTTTCATTCGATTATTCACAACGGCCTGCACTGTCACCTCAACAAGGTCAGTGTACCCAAACCTTATTTAAAAAATTGTTTTTTACAGATCATGAGGAGCAAGGCAAGTTTAAGAGGATGCTGAAGGGCTGAAGTGTAAATCAGAATGTTACATTGTGCTTACATGGACATTTTTCATTGCAGAACTCAGTGTTTGGAGAGGGGACCTACCTCACTAGTGACCTCAGTATGGCTGTCCTCTACAGTCCCCACAGCAGCGGCTGGAGAGAAAGCATTCTAGGTCCACTGCTGAGCTGTGTCGCCTTGTGTGAAGTCATTGATCATCCAGATGTTAAATGCCAGGTGAAGAAAAAAGGTATGTTTAACAGTCAGGTAAAAGCAGTATATCTTCAACATGGATTCCAAAGCTATGAGGAGACAACAAAAAAGTGACAGTTTATGAAAACACCTGAGCTATCAACAATTAGCAATAAGACATATGGAGTAAAGAGGTCAAAAATGTGTGCATTTGTACATATGACGCATCACAGTTTTTAAATAAGAGTGAATCAGAGAGACTGGGAAGAGAAGAGGAACAGAGCAAATAATGGAAGACATAATTCGGTGGAGTGAGCAGAACCAGAGCAGAAATGGGCGAGGGTCTTGATGGGTGAGTGATGTTAGATAGGGATAACTTCGAATGACACGTCATGTAACAAGGCTGTAACAAAATTAGTATTTGTTGTTT